TTTTTTATTTTCAGTTAAAAAAAATCAATTTTATTAAAAACATTATATATAAATATATAACTTTAATATATATAAAATTCTTTCTTAATTTTATTTTTAATTTTGTATCATAAATGGAAAATAAAATGTTTTAATATTAAATAGAAATAACTTATTGATAAATAAACACAGTTTAAACAACAATAATTTTAATTTTATACTTTGATTAAAAATACAAAAATTAAAAGTTATTAACTTATCAATGATTTTTGTTCTCTAATCTTTATAATATTTAACAATAATTTTAACATGTAAAACATATAAAATATAATTAATTAAGTTAATATTTTTATTAATATATAACATATTAAACTTTAACTATAACTACTAATATACATATAGAATATTAATATATTCGTGGAGCTTTTTTGGATTAATTTAATTGGTTAATTTTAATAATCAAACAACATTCAGTTGTTTATTTATTAAATTAAAAAAATTTATTAATTTATAAATTTGCGTTAAAAACGAAATGGAAAACTACTAAGACAAAACTAAACTAAGACATTCTATTTCATTTCTGTTATATTCTTTTCGCTCTGTTTTTGAATGATTAATCAAAATTGATTATAACTTAATAAATAAATCTCAACCAATATTTTTATGTATATAAGTTTCACATATATTCATTTTAATCTTTAGAATTAATTCTTCAAAATGAATTTTGATAAATTTAAATATAATTTAATTAAGTTAATTAATAAATTTTAAATATAAATTCATAATTAAATTTTATTATTTTAAATACTTTGTACATTGCTTATGAATGTTCAAATAAATAAATAGAAAAATTAAGAGATGATTTTAAAGATTAAAAAAAACACGAAAGTTAATATGTATAAATATAAAATATAACTTATTTTTCGAATTATAAATATTATAATTACATTATAAACAATTAAATTATAAACAATTTTGTACTAAACAAACTCATTATATCTACATTTCATTTAATCTAAAATAAAATTATTTGTAACTTAATAAAATAATTAATAAACTCAATAATCTACATTTTTGCATATCAATTTTCATATTTTATTTTAGTCTCTAGAATCATTTCTTAAATTTTCTATATTTCGTTCGAATTTTTTGTTCTTTTATCTAAATATTTTTCAAAGAATTATTATTTTTTATTTTTAATTCTTTTCTTTTTAGAACATTTTAGAATAAATATAATTTAATTTAAATATAATGTATATTTATATGTGTTATTTGGCAATATTTACTTAATCGCAAAAAAAAATGAAAATTATATTAATTTTGAGGATTAGTTTAAAACAATCAACATTGAAGGAAAAACAAGTATCTATGTCTCAGTTTTTATATCATATTTATGAACATATCGATATACTGTCAATGAATGGAAGACTCATGGAGTTAATCCTATAAAATACATTCAGTCACTGGGTCAAGGTTGGTTCATCGATCATATTCACAAGAAATAGTTAAAGTAATAACATTTATTATTTTATTTATTACTTTCACTTATTTATTACTTTCATATTCAATGTTATAGAGAACAGAAATGATTATAATAATTTCTATATACTATATTTCCCTATTAACCAATTAATTAATCATTGCATTATGGAGTTATTTATAATGAAATAATAAATAGAATTGGAATAATGTAAAACAAAGAAATATGAAAAGAAAAATAATTCATTAATAATAGAGATACTGTAATATGAGAATAATTTATCAAATAAAGACTATGCAACGATTATATAACAAAATAATTTGATTTTGAATATCTTATTTGATTTTGATGATAAAAAAAAATATTTAGATATAAATTGAATGATGCAAAAAAAATATAAAATATATAAAAAAATTTTAATGAATTCGTATAATTTTTAATGTATTAATTAATGCAATATGCTGTTTTCTACAAAAAAAAAATATTGATTATGACAATTTGTAAAGAATTAATTTAGAAAATATTTCTACATTTTTGGCACTTTTGATAAAAAAATAAAAAAACATAAAGAACTTATAAAAACTTATTATCTTAAATAATATAAGGAAATTATAAAAATAGATATTATAATTAAAGAATTATATATATAGATATTATAATTATAGATTATATATAGATTATATATATAAATGTTAATATTAAATGATAATTTGATACTAATTATTGCAAGAAAAATGAAAATTAATGAGACAATATTGAAAATATTGAAAATGTTAAATAATATTCTTAAAATAAATAAATGCATTTTATTAATTTTTTACAATTGTAATAGAATGTATAGATATACGTGATTCTATCGAATGATGTAAACAATAAAACAATTTTTAAAGGTATTTAAAAATTCGAAATTTAATTTATAAATATAAAACAAAAAAAAAAAAGAAAAAAAAAATGTATATATGACTGATATATTTATAATGCATCTTTCAATATTTTGATAAATTCAATTTTATTAAACTTTTTTGAAAAAATGTTATTTTAATGTCAAAATATAGTTTTAATTTAATATTTTAATGTTTTTTATTTTATTAAAATTTATTAAAATTTTTATTAAAATTTTATTAAATTTTTTTTAAAAAAATGTTATTATATATATAATGTCAAAATATAGTTTTAATTTAATATTTTAATGTTTTAAGTTAGCCTTTATAGAATCAAGTATGGTTTCTATATAAATTATATATATATTCATCATATTATATAGGATTCTAGTATAGAAGAAAATCAAATAATTTTATCAATATGTTTTTTAAATAATTCTGAATTAATAATTATTAAATTTAAAAATACATTATAACTCTTGTTCTACTTGTTTTTTATTTATTTATTTATTTATTTTTATTTATTTTAAAAAATAAAT